CATGTGGCTATTTAAATTTTTTTTTTTTTTTTTTTTGGTAGAATCGAGGGTCTCACTATGTTGCCTAGACTGGTCCCAATCTCCTGGCCTCAAGGTGCTCCTGCCTCAGCCTCCCAAAGTGCTGAAATTATAGCCATGAGCCACTGTGCCTGGCCTGAGCTTCATTTTAATGGTCGTTTTTCCCCTTTTGTATATAACCATTTGTATGTCAAAATGAGGCACTACCTCAAGTGGTTACAATTGCTCTCTTGGTTCTGTTCTGAGTCAGACCATTATCAAAAGCATCAGATGACATTTCTAATAGATGACTTTCTGAATTCTCTGAAACTGAACAGCTGTTTAAAACAAATGCCCTTTCTGTGGGGATTTATCATCTGCAAATCAATTGATTATTCATGATGGAAAGATCTACATTCTGAGTGACATTTAAATCAGATTTTAATTATATTTTGAATTTTAATTTCTTGCCCAGCATGCAATGTATACAAAAATATGTTTACAGAAAATAATGAAAATTTTTCAGTTGAAAAATATTATCTTCTGAAAGTCAGAGGGATCTGGGGGATTCTTTAACAAATGATGTTGTTGAGAAACAACCCTAATAAACCCATTGGAGCCTCTCAGCTACTGGCTGTTTTTTGTCTAAGTTCTTACTGAATTCAGGAGGTAATGGGTAGGGACATCATTTCATGTAGGGGTTCCAATATAGTGAACTATAATGTCTTGATCTCTACAAGCTTAATAAAGTCAGCCAATTAAATTTTAAGGCGGTGAGAGGAGGCTGCATAGCCGCGCGGAGGAGGCAGGAGCCAGAGCGCGAGTAGTAGCTGGGTGGGTACCATGGCTGGGATCACCATCATCGAGGCGGTGAAATGCAAGATCCAGGTTCTGCAGCAGCAGGTAGATGATGCAGAAGAGCGAGCTGAGTGCCTCCAGCGAGAAGTTGAGGGAGAAAGGCGTGCCTGGGAACAGGCTGAGGCTGAAGTGGCCTCCTTGAATGTAGGATCCAGCTGGTTGAAGAGGAGCTGGACTGTGCTCAGGAGTGCCTGGCCACTGCCCTGCAAAAGCTGGAAGAAGCTGAAAAAGCTGCTGATGAGAGAGAGAGAGGTATGAAGGTTATTGAAAACCGGGCCTTAAAAGATGGAGAGAAGATGGAACTCCAGGAAATCCAACTCAAAGAAGCTAAGCACATTGCAGAAGAGGCAGATAGGAAGTATGAAGAGGTGGCGTGTAAGTTGGTGATCATTGAAGGAGACTTGGAACGCACAGAGGAACAAGCTGAGCTGGCAGAGTCCCGTTGCCGAGAGATGGATGAGCAGATCAGACTGATGGACCAGAACCTGAAGTGTCTCAGTGCTGCTGAAGAAAAGTACCTTCAAAAAGAAGACAAATATGAGGGAGAGATCAAGATTCTTACTGATAAACTCAAGGAGGCAGAGACCCATGCTGAGTTTGCTGAGAGATCGGTAGCCAAGCTGGAAAAGACAATTGATGACTTGGAAGATAAACTGAAATGCAGCAAAGAGGAGCACCTCTGTACGCAAAGGATGCTGGACCAGACTCTGCTTGACCTGAATGAGATGTAGAACGCCCCAGTCCCACCCTGCTGCTGCTTCTCCCTCTGACCCTGACTTCACCTGAGGCCAGCCTGCCCAAAGCTGACCTTTAATTGAGGGCTGATCTTTAACTGGAAGGACTCCACTATGGGAAACCTCATTGCTCTGTACAAAGTACCAGCTAAACCAGAAAAGTGATTCCAGGAGGAGTTAGCCGAACAACAACAACAAAAATGTGCTGTTCAAGTTTTCAGCTTTAAGAGCTCTTTGGACAACGTTATTTCTATTTTTTATTTTTTTCATTACAAGTGACCAAATTAAGATGGTAAGATCTCTGAGACCAAATTTTTGTCCCATCTCTACTCCCTCCCAGCTGCTTTACAGAATGGATCATGTGCCCCTTATGTTGAGATGACCACTTAATTGCTTTCCTGCGTCCTTGAAAGAAAGATCAGCAAACTGCCAGCCCACGGACTGCAGAGGCTGTCATAGCCAGATGGGTGACCAGGGTGCCACAAATCCAAAGAAGCAAAGTTTCAAAATAATATAAAATTTTAAAAGTTTTGTACATAAGCTATTCAAGATTTCTCCAGCACTGACTGATACAAAGCACAATGAGATGGCACTTTTAGAGACAGCAGCTTCAAACCCAGAAAAGGGTAATGAGATGGGTTTCATATGGCTTAATCAGTGGCAAAAACAATTAAGTGGTCATCTCAACATAAGGTGCAGTGGCTCACACCTGTACTCCCAGCACTTGGGAGGTTGAGGAGGGAGGATCACAAAGGTCAAGAGATCAAGACCATCCTGATCAACATGGTGAAACCCGTCTCTATTAAAAATACAAAAAAATTAGGTGGGTGTGGTGGTGTGCGCCTTTAGTCCCAGCTACTCGAGAATCGCTTGAACCTTGGAGGTGGAGGTTTCGGTGAGCAGAGATTGTGCCACTGCACTTCAGCCTGACAGAGCAAGACTCTGTCTCAAAAAAACAAAAACAAAAACAACCCAAAACACCAATATAGAATGTTAGACAACAAAGCTATGGAGAAAAAGCAGTTAAGGGAAATAGAGCGTGACGTGTGACCTGGGTTTAGAGCTGTCACTACAAGGTGACTAGGGAAGTAATATTTGAGTAAAACCTAAAAGGAAGTAAGGAAATGAGCCATTAACATCTTGGGGAAATGCATTTCAAGCAGAGGGAACAGCAAGTGCAAAAGCAGAAACAGCAAAGACTGTGCTGCGAGAGTCGAGTGGGTAGGAGCAGAATGGCAGAAAATGAAGTTAAAAAGGAGATTGGCCGACAGGCCACTTATGAGGGTCTCATAAGCCATTTAAGAGCTTTGAGTTTAACTGTTGAGTAAGTGCCAGTCATTGTAGGGTTTTGAAGAAGAGTGATTATGTTATTTAAGATTTAATATGTTTGCTCTGGCTGCTATATAGAAATATACTATGGGCGGTAGGGCAGGGAGGGCAGAGGTGTTGGAGTGAGAGCAGTAAGACCAATTAGGATGCTCAAGAATTTTTTCTTTTTCTTAAGGGTTGGGGTCTCACTTTGTTTCCCAGGCTGGAGTGCAGTGGCGAGATCACAGCTCACTGCAGCTTCAAACTTCTGGGCTCAACTAATCCTCCTGCCTCAGCCTCCTGAGTAGCTGGAACTACAGACATGTGCCACCCTGCCTGGCTAATTTTTAATTTTTTTTTTTTTTAAGAGAAGGAGCCTGTGTTGCCCAGGTTGGTCTTGGAACTCTTGGCCTCAAACAGTTCTCCTGCCTCAGCCTCTCAAGTCACTGGTATTATAGATGTGAACCACCATCCCCAGTGGGATGCTCTAAACATTAAATTCTAGGCAAAGAGATGATGAGGCTGGGCTTGGATCAGAATTTTAGCAGTTTGTGTGGTCAGACTCTGGATACGTTTTGAAGGCTTTGGTGTTGCTTTGATTGTGGAATGTGAGAAAAAGACATCTGGAGCAAATGTTAGACGGTAGTTACCATCCATTTACTGCCATAGTGAAGACTGCAAGAGGAACAGGGTTTGAAGGAGTAGAGATACATGTGCTATTCTCTTCTTCATGCTAGAATTTAATTCTTCAGTAGCTAGCAGGTAAAGAGAATTGCTTCCTAACTCTGGAAATTTGCTACTATGGAAAGAAAATTGAGGTGGGATCCCTAAGGTGAAATTTTAAGACCTGACCCTCTCAATTTTGGCCAGATCATTACACTTTCTTGAGCCTTCTCAGGCTTTGTTTCTTTAATCATAAAATAAATTGCTTGGCCCAGGTTGTCTCTAATGTTTCTTCAGTTGTCAGAATTTGTGTTTCTATCCATTCTGTTTGGAACTGCGTTGATTACTTCTCCCTCATTTACTTGTTAACTGTTAAACATTCCTCAAGTTTCTGACCTTCCCTCTTATTAACACATACCCTTCCTGGTTTCAGTTGGTTTTATAAGTGCAACTCTCAGACTCACATTTTAAACATTGACTTTTTTTCTGAGTTCTAGATTAATTTAAATTTGTTCCAATAGGTTCAATTCTTAATTTACTTTTTTCCCCTAAACTTACTCTTCTTGATTATGGGTCACAATTTTCTGTTTCTTGGTCTCTTAATTTTTTATGTTATGTCAGACGCTGTGAAAAAGGAAAGTACAGACTGAAGTATTCTCTCAGGACACTAGTGTTAGGGGCTGAATCAATCTGGTTTGAGTTGGGACCTTTGTGGCAGTTTTAGTTATATTTAGCTTACCACTGATATCAAATGTTGTGAAGGCAGAATAAGGACACTCCCTTTATTAGAGTTTGGGATCTGAGCACCTGTGAGATTCAGGAAATCTCACCATCCTTTATAGCCCACCCCAGCCTTTATAGCCCAGTTTGTTGAACTGTGAGAGATCCCTCTCTGTTTCACAGCCCCAGCTGTTGGCATTTTGAGCAGCTGGGACATGTTTTTTTCCTCTCTTTAGCCCCATTCCTGGCTTCAGGTCCTTTAGACTGGAGAGAGCACTGAACTAATACCTTGCCACCTTCCTTTGGCAGGCATGACCTTGTACTTAGTGAAGGCCCTGAGCCACTTGGACAGGAGTTTCTCTCAGCTCTCCTGCCTTATACCAGCATTCTGTGGTCCCATCACCTCACCCTCCCTTTTTCAGCTTCAGTACTTGGAAGAGATCCTATTGGGAAAGTGCAGATTTGCTTTGTGAATGAGGCTTCTGAGATTTTAATCTATCTTGTGAGCCCCCATGTGCCCCTTGAAAATCTGTTGAAAATGGACTAGTTTCCCCCTTCTAAAGGAGAAGGTTCACTTCTCCTTTCACCATGATCTCAGCCCTGTTTTCTTTTCCAGAAAGGGCTTGTTCCTCTAGGATTTAGTTGCTTTATTTTCTTTGCATCCTCAACTTTCTGAGTTTAAAAAAACTATGATTTTATAGTTTATCTGGCTTGTTCTTATTGTTAAGCTGGGAGTAACAACAGTCTTTGTGAGCGTCTGCGTCATAACCATAAGCAGTAATCCTGATATACTCTGTTGTGTTCAACATAATTGGTATAGGTTGACTGTTCATACTGAAATTATTTAGCTGATTATTTCAGTAAAGCTCCACGTAAGTGAAATATTGGCCATATTTAGGCTTATGGAAAACTGATATAAATGCTGGCTAACACAATAGTTAACATTTTTTTTCTTTGTTCTTTATCCAGATTTTACAACCATAAAAATTTTTCATTGTGGTACATGTAACAAAATTTATCATTTTAATTATTTATTTATTTATTTGAATTTCTCTCTTGTTACCCAGGCTGGAGTGCAATGGTGCAGCCTTGGCTTACTGCAACCTCTACCTCCTAGGTTCAAGTGATTCTCCTGCCTGCCTCTTGAGTAGCTGGGATTACAGGCATGTGCCACCATGCCCTGCTAATTTTGTATTTTTAGTAGAGATGGGGTTTCACCATGTTGGTCAGGCTGGTCTTGAACTCCTGACCTCAAGTGATCTGCCCACCTCAGCCTCCCAAAGCTCTGGGATTGTAGATGTGAGCCACCATGCCTGGCCCATTTTAATTTTTTTAAACATAAAGTCCAGTGACATTAATTAAAATTGAAATTTTATGTAAACATCACAACTATTTCTAGAGCCTTTTCATCTACGTACAATCATACAATATTTATCCTTTTGTTTTTGACTTAGTTCCCTTAGTGTAATGTTCTCAAGGCTCATCTCTGTTGTAGCATATGTTAGAACTTCATTTCTTTTTATGGCATTGTATGTGTGTGCCACGTTTTGTTTATTCATCTGTTGATTGGCGGGTTATTTCTACCTTTTGGCTTTTGTGAATAATGCTGCCATTAACATTGGTATACAAGTATCTACTTGAGTTCCTGTTTTCAATTTTGTTTTCTTTCATATATCCCTAGGAGTAGAATTGCTGTGTCATATGATTATTCTGTGTTTAGTTTTTGAGAAACTACCAGTTTTTCACCATGACTACACCATTTTATGGTTGCATCAGTATTCCAGTTTGTTCACATCCTCACTGACACTTACTGCTTTTTGTTTGATAATAGCCATCCTACTGGGTATGAAGTGGTATTTCATAGTGGTTTTGGTTTGCATAATGAGTAATGATGTTGAACATATTTTTATCTTCTTATAGGCCATTGACATATCTTTGGTGCAGTGGACATTCAGGATCTTTGCCCATTTTTAAATTGGGTGTTTGCTTTTTGTTGTTGAGTTGTAGCAGTTCTTTCTGGATATTAAATTCTTATAAGATATATGATTTGCAAATATTTTATCCCATTCTGTGAGTTGTTTCAAAGTCCAGTATGTCTATTTTTTTGGTCTGTTTTGGTTGTTGCTTATGCTTTTGGTATCATATTTAAGAAATCATTATGAAATCCAACATCAGGAATATTTCTTCTTAGCACTTTATAGTTTTAACTCTTATATTTAGGCCTTTGATCCATTTTGAGTTAACTCTTGTATATAAGATAATGTTCCGGTTTCACCCTTTTGCATGAAAACATCAGTTTTCCCAGCACCATTTGCTGAATAGATTGCCCCTTCCCTATTGAATGGTCTTGACACCTTTGTCAAAAATCAGGTGTCTGTTTGGGTTCTCAGTTCTATTCTGTTGTTCTGT